CTTAAGGTACATTGGGGCGCTCCGCAACCAGAAGGGTGAGGGACCATATACCCCCCCATCCCTGTCGAGGGCTAGTCTTGGGCGGTCAGGACCATACCCCCCCACCCTTTGGGCCGCGAGGCTACCATACCATACCCCGCAAAAAGTTGGAACCCTGGGCAGGTTGCCCTGGCCAGAGTTGGCGGCGTAAGTGCCGGCAAGACACTACTAGGAACCGGGTGGGCAGGGCGTGCCACAGGGTGGGCAGGGCGTGCCACAACGACTGAGCCAGCAGGGCAGTATTCGCCCACCTGGCACAGCTCACAAGAGAGAACGTTGGTCAAGTAGCTGCCTTTCTCGCACACGAGGCAGCCAGTTGCGCCCGTATCGTCCTGGTAACGATACCTCTGCTCTAGAGCGCGCACTGTGTGTGTGTGGTATAGCGTGTAGGTGTTAATTAAAACAGATTTGATTCACCGTCATGATCGGCTCCGACTGAGCGGACGTGTACCCTTCAACATCCTACCCCTCGGGCAGACAGCCCGGCAAAGGCGCTGAACACAATCACTGGTTAACGTGATGTCCGGCTCCGCAGAGCCATGTGCGTATTGTGCCAAGTACGCGGCCGGCCACTGCATCGGATTGGGCGCCTTCCCAGATCTGGAGACGCAACAGCAGCAGCGCAGGCTCGAGCTCGAGGCGCAGCACAGGAGCGCAGGTACGCTGCCGCCGCCGCCGCCAACGACGAGTGGCAGCAACGGCCTCCTGCAGGCATTCGACGAGGGCGACGTGCCGTACTATTACCACAAGGACACGTCGCACACCCTCGCGTGCAAGTACGAGCTACTCGACACCAGCGTCGCCAATCCGGAGTGGGCGCGCGATCCGCCAGCCGACGTGGCTGTCACCGAGGCGCGAGGGCAAATGGCCACCGGAGCGCTCCGAGTACGACCTCGGTGAACTCGGGCAGAAAGCATATCATCGGCACCGCGCGCGGTGGTACAGGGAGCACACATGCAAGGAGCTCACCGGCAGCCTTGAGGAGCAGAATGAGCAGTGGGACAACTACAAGCGCAACTTCCGCGCACGTGGCGATACTGCTCCGCTCGAGAGGCGGTATGTGTGTCAACCACTCTGGGATGATTTACAGTTTTTGGTTTGTTGTTGGTACAGTGATATGGAGAAAAAAGTCTTTTCGATCCTTTCTCTTTGATGGATCAGAAAAACAAATCGGACCTGTCGCCGCTGTTCTTTGTTCTTCCGCCGCCTCCTGGCGAGGTACTCCCACGCCTATCGGGGTTTTTGTCTGGCGAGCCTCGGCGAGACTGCGTCTGCTGTTCCCACAGCAGGCTGGAAGTACCTCGCCAGGCAGCCTCCAGGTGTGGGCAGCTGGCTAGCGAGCGCGGCTTTCGCCTGCTGGCCTGCAGCGAAGGAAGCTCTCTCTCTGTCTGCGATGCTAATGCTCCAGCTTCGCTTCGACGGCTCCTTCCGAGCCGGTGGCGCCGGAGGCGCGGCAGCTGTGCTTTCCAAGGATGGAGTCGTTTGGTGGGAGGGAGCCCGTTTCGTGCCCTCGTGCGTCACATCGTCCCACGCTGAGTTTGAGGGCCTCATTCTCGGCCTGGAGGCAGCACGCGCGCTGTCGCCAGACGCGCTGCGCGTCGAGGGCGACTGCCGGGTCGTGATCGACCAGATGTCGGGCAAGGCACGCGCACGCAAGCTGAGCGAGCCGGCAGGGCGCGCGCGTGAGGCCCTCGCGCGGCTGCCGCTCGGAAGCGCCCCGTCTTTCGGTGCCATAGTGCGGGAAGAGAATGCCCGCGCAGACGCGCTGGCGCGGGCAGCGGTCGACGTGGCGCAGGCGCTGCACAACCGCCACGACCCGGCTGCTGCGCCATGTCCACGACGTGTGTCCATGCGTGTAGGCGCTGCACGTTGCGGCGGCACTTGCGGCTGCCCGCGGAGGCGGACTGCGAGCCAGCACGGCGCGCGGCTGCGCTGCTCCGGCTGCGGAGGGCGGCTGGCGCCTCGAGCTCGCTCTGCGCGATTGCGTGCCGCTGCCGGCCTCGCTCTTCGACACACTTCTCTTGGCGTGCCACGGCGAGCGAGAGTGGCAGCCGCTGCTCGAGCTCCTGGGGGCGGCGGAGGCGTCCCCGGCGTGGCGCAGCGGCGGCGCGCGGGAGCAGGCGACGTCGCCTCGTTGGCTTGCGTGCCCCCGCCACCGGCCTCTTCACGGCGCTGCGTGTGAACAGGCGTACCTGCTCGCCGCGGACGCGCTGCGCGCGCTGGGCGGCTCGCGCGGCGGTTCGAACCCTCGCAGCCGCTTGCTGCGCGACGTCGCCCGGCGGCGGCGGAAGCTCCGCCGGTCGGAAGAGGCGACCGCGCGTCGCGGTGCGCGCGCGGGCCTCGCGCTGGGGCGCCGAGGCGCAGCCGCTCCCTGCGCGACGGCGATGGGGGAGGAGGTGGAGGGGTCGGCGGCCGAGGCTGCGAGCGCGTGGCGCGGGTGGGTGTTGCGCGAGGCTGGCGGCGAGGAGTCGTTCTGTGTCGGGGACGGGGTCGGGCGGGGGGAGGCTCAGGCTGCGAGGCTGCTGCGAGTCTACCACTCCCTCGCAGCGTCGGGCCTCGGCTGGGCGGGCGGCGAAGAGGGAGGCGGAGACGGCGGAGGACCTGGCCGCCTGGTAGATGACAGCGCAGTGTGTGTGTAGAAGACCGCGCCTCGGGAGCACGACCCAGTCAATAACTTATCCTTTTGGGACATTGCCATGCCTTATATGCCTTTAGGATGAACGAAAAAGACGCTCCCACCTCCTCTCGGCTCTCGCCAGGCCGCTCTCGCGCCGTCGCCCGACACTGTCCGCGACACCGCATCCATCGCGACCACATCGTCACCGCCACGCGCCAGGTCTCCGGGCCACCCGCTCGCGCGCCTTTTCCCGGGATAATATATCGGGGGATCGTAGGCCGCGCGCACAGGTGTCAGGCGTGGCCTAAGAGCTAAGTGCTAAGAGAGGGCATCAGCGAAGGGAGGAGTCTTCCAGTCTTAGCCGTAGAGCCCATGTCTCGTCGCCCCCGAAGGTCGCGTTCAAAATGCCCGGAACGGCCGTCTCAGGGGTGTCCGGCCGGTGCGATAATAAATAAAATAGAGCAGACCTCTCGTGGAGAGTCGGGCGACGCACGATTTCTCGTGGGTTTCTTTGCCAGGCCCTTCGCCGATCTCGACGTCTCGACCGTGCCCGGAGAGTGTTTCGACGAGCTGCGAGTGGCGCACACGGAGCTCGTCAGCAACCACGACCTTACCGACAAGTGCCAGCGGGATTGGCGGAAGTGGGTCGAGTGCCGGGAGGTGGTGAGCCCGGGCACTGCGACCAACGAGGCGAAGGCGGAGCCGAGGTTCCGCTTCTTCCCGCACGAGCTGACGCCGGCTGCGGAGCTGCTTCCCCTCGCCCAGTTCTCGTCCACCAACGAGTACCTGCACCTGGCGCAGCGACGGTACACCTCTGGCGTGCACCACTCTAACTGGCTCGCCCTTGCCGAAGAGCTTACCGAAGAGGCGCTTCGCAGCGGCGGCCGCAAGGCGCCCTCCAAACGCAAGAAGGTCGGAGGGCGCAAGAACCACAAATGCTGTGGCGAGAGGCGATCCGCTTCGTCGCCGTCAGCCAACCAGGGGCCGGCGCCTTCCTCAACGCCATCCCCATGCGTGATGATATGAAGATGGAGTCCTGGGCGATGCGCGTCACCGTTCAGCGCCGCCTCGGGCTCCCCCTCGATGTCGCCTGCCAGGCGGCGGAGGAAGGCAAGAGGGCACCCAACGGCCAGCTGCACGACATCCTCGGCGACGCCGCGATGGTTAACCCTCGGTCGAAGCATGCTACAAGACACAAATTCCTACTCAAACGACTGGTCAAGATCCTCCGCTCGGCGTGGGGCATGATCATCGAGATGGAGCCGACTGCACACCTCAGTTACAGTAATCCCAAACAACCTGACGTGGCGGCGGCAAACATCGGCAGGGCCAGGGGGCACAGAGGCGCCTTGTTGCCGATTTGAAGCTCACGAGCTCGCTTGCGAGCAAGGGCAAGGACGCGGCCGGCGACGGAGAGCTCGGCTGGAAGGGGGCGTATGTTCGCTTCGGCAACACGGAGCCCGGGCTGCTCAATCTGGTCAAAGGGCGCGGCAAGTACTCGCCGTCGGGGGAGCGACGGCAGCGGCGGTGGCGGAGGAGGAGGACGAGGAGGCGGAGGCGGAGGCGGAGGAGGTAGGGGAGGGGGAGGACGCGCCGCATGCCCCCAAGGGGCCGCTCAAGCAGCTGCCTGGCGATTACCGCTTTTTGCGCGGGAGCAAGATTGCGATCTGCGCTTGTTCGACTTCGAGAGCTTCGCCTTCGGAGGCTTCGGAAAGGAGGTCCGCAGCACCTGAGGGAGGCGGCGAACCAGCTGAGCAACAAACTTTCGCATGCTCAGCACCTGGACGAGGTCACGTGGACAACCAAGAATTGGCACGGCCTGCAAATGCAGCGTTGTCAGTCGTCCTCCACACCGCTGTCTGTGGCGTGGCAGACGGTGAACGAGCTAGCGTGCGGGGAGAGCGGCATTGTGCATGGTGCGGAGTGCATTGCCGTTCTTAACGGAGTCGCTTAGGCGGCTCCGGTGGTGAGCCGGTGTGTGTGCCAGTCCGCGCCAGTCCGCGCCCGTGTCGTTGACGGCCCGGGGGCTTTTCTTTGCAAGCGATCACGAGTATGCTCGCGCTGTCTGCGTTAGGCTTCAACGTCGGCCTGCGTTCGCCTCACGCGGTGACGCCTCACGCGGTGAGCCCGCAGCGGGCTTCTGCGTGGGCGCGAGGCGACGCAGACGAGGTGCGCGAGGCCTCCGCACGCGAGGCGGCCGAGCGCTTGCGTGCGAGTGGAGCGGGTGGCAGTGATGGAGGTGATGGTGGCGGATGGGCCGACTGGCCGCAGAGCGAGCTCGACGGCGCGCCTGTCTGGGATCCGAGCGCTGACGACGGCGAGGCCGCCTTTGGCGACGGCGCCCTTGGCGGGTGGGATGGCGCTGCGCTCGGCAGTGCCGGCGCTGGCGCCTCGGGCAGCGGTGCCGCGTGGATGTCGCCGGCGGCGTCGGCCGAGCCGGAGAGGGCACGTCGGCCCATCGAGACGGTCAAGGTTGGCCGCGTGAGCGGCCCATACGTGCGGCGCAACGGCTACCACGTCGAGGTTCGGGTGCAGCACCCGGCGGGCGACGACCGAGCGGTGGCCGAGGAGACGGCGCACACGCTATGGATCTCGCACCAAGTGCTGGACGAGACGGCGCTGCTCCGCGGGGCGGAGGAGCAGGATCTGTCCGTCGAGGCCGTCGCAGAGGAGGCAGACGCCTTGCTCCCGCGCCGCCGCCGCACACGGCGCGAGAGAGACGTCTGCCCGATCCCTGCGCCACCGCCCTCCCCGCAGGTGCTCTCCTTCCTCGCCTCGCGCGGCATCGACCTGTCCGACGGCGACTGGGCCCTCGACGACCCCGACGTGCCCTTCTCGACCCAGCACGCCTCGCTCCGCACGCTCACCGACTACTACCCCGATCTCAAGGAGCACCTCGCAGAGAAGCTCCTCGGGCCGCAGACAGGCGCCACGCGCACGCCGCCCTTCAAAAATATGGCGATGGGCTCACACCCGCTCTCCGGCTGGTGACGGGGCAGACCCGCGGCCGCCACCCACGCGAACTTCCTTCCCGGGCAGCGCGGGTCCCATGCGCTGCGTCCGCGCGCGATCGTCTCGAGAGCTAGCTCGCGAGAGTTGGAGCTGACTGAGAGACACTGAGCAGATCGTCTACTTTCGGTGCACTGCTTCGTTTAACGTGTCTTTGATAGCGCGGCCCACACGCTACAACCGGGCTTGACGTAACGGGGGGCCAACACTCGCCGCGCCTCTCCTCGGAGCACCGTTCCTTGGCGCTTGGGGGTGACTGGCGCACACACACTCACACACGCATATGGCTCGTTGTGCGAGTATATGGGCCACGATGTCTCAAATATGAGGGGGTTTGACTCCTACCGGCTCCTGACGCTATCCCTGGCAGCTCTAATGACCGGGATCAGTAGTGCTATGATAGAGGGTGCCCATACTAGCGCAGGAGCTGCCACACTCGCCCGGACCGTCCCCCTCTGGGGCCGGTTCCGCAGCCAGCGAGAGCCGACAGCGGGGCCGTGCCGCGGGTGCCTACTGCCGAGTGCCACAAACACTGCGCCGTCCCGCCACCACCTACAGGCTGTCTTGTGTGATGGTTGGGATGTCCAAACGCCACCATCTTGGCTCTTGCGACCTCAAACCCGCGAGCTGTATGGGTGGTCCTGACGTCGACAGACGCCCGATGACCACGGTGAAGCTGAGCCGGAACGCGTCGACAAGTCTCGTCTGAGCCCGTGGCGGTCGCCGGCTGAGTCGCTGTGCACGGGCCGGTACCTCAGGCGTCACCTCCGCAGCCTCAGGTCTCAAACTCCACCACCTCCGCCAGGACGCCGTCGGTGGCACGTTCGGCGGCGAGTTTGTTGCAGCCCCACAGCGAGCGCGGCGTCGAGCCTAATCGGTCTGGTCGGTTCGCGGCACTCCCTGGGTGCCAGGGAGTGCCGCCGACACGCGAGCGGTGCTTCCTGGCAGCGCGCGCCGGCTGTGGGGCTGCAACAAACTCGAGACACGCTTTTTGGGACATTTTCGACGCTTTTGGCCCATATACTCGCACAACAAGCCATATGTGTCTCGCAAAAGAGAACAGGAGACAAATGGCTTAGAGAGAGCATGTCGGCTGAGAGTCTTGTGACAGGCTAGGAGAGACAGACGGCCTGTACGACAAACGGCCTGGGGGGAACGATTAAAAAGAATTCAAAAAAGAAAAACCACTCGACTGAATAACACTCCGATGGCGAAAACGCCGAAAGCCAGACGATACCAGGGGGCAAGTGTGTGTAGCACCTTCGACCCCGAAATGAAGGTCACCACACCAAACCGGGCGCTAGGAGAGGTGAACTGAAGGCTGAGACAACGGAGGCTGAGCCTGAGTGGGCGCCCGCGCGCCCCCACACAAGCATGCCTCTGTCCTTCGGCCCACTCCATCGATCGTCCGGGGGTGACCGTGCAGCGCCACCAAACACCAACACCGGATAAGTGCCCACACCGCCCGACCCCCCTCTAGGGACAGCAGTGCGCATCTCTTCCCGGAGAGGGAAGGAGGGGGGGGGGGGGGGTCAGAGAGCCAACGACAGGGAGTACCCCCGACGGACGCGAGTCGGGGGGAAAGCGAGACGAGAGATTCAAGGCGAACTTCATCGCCCGTCCAGGAGCCCCGCATTAGGTAGCGACCCCAGGTTAAGAGCTAGGCTTCCCGACAGGGCAGGGAACCCCCAGGGCCCACGGTTCGTAGCCTCGTGCAGTACGCGATACCGAGAGCTGGGGGAGAGGCGCGCCACGCCAAGGGGGGCAAGCGACGGGAGGGGGAGAGTAGTGTCTTTCGCAGAGTAAAACGCAATTTTTTTCTTTGACTTCAAAACAAGCCACGCACACACCCGTGTGTAGCGTGTACGCGTGCCCTCCCCCGCCTAGAGTCCTACTCTAGAGCGGCCCTTACTAGGCCGTCCTAGCGGCTAGCGCGCACCTAGGCCTGTGAGGCTGTGAGCAGTGAGCTGTGTGCGCCTGGCATGTGGCAAGCTTATTTACTGACCGATCTGGGCAGTCTGGATCACGGGGGATGACATCCTGCCTACCGGCGCGCCGGGAGGAGGTGGTTGCTCCGCCGCCGGACCGCCCTCTCCACCACCCTATGGGTGCTAGTTTACGTCGACGACATACTCATCGCCGACAACTGCCCCACGCTGCGCGCCCGTTTTGTTGCCGACATCTCCAAGCGCTTTCCTACCGAGGACAAAGGCGAGCTCGAATGGATACTGAACACCGCCATCACGCGTGACCGCGGCGCACGGACCCTGAACTTGTCCCAGGGCCTCTACGCCGCCGACCTCGTTACCAAGTTCAGCGCCTATTTCGATCGGTCCCGCTCACGCCGCTTCGACTCGCCTATGGAAGAGGGGCTCGAACTGTCCGCCGATGACCAGCCCGCCGTTGGATCTGTTGAATACGACGAGATGTCCGAATTCCGCACCGCCTACATGGCCATCGTCGGCGGACTACTGTGGCTTGCCAATATGACGCGCGTCGACATTGCTTATTCCGCGTCTCAGCTTGCTCGGTTTATGACGAACCCTGGCCCGTCGCATTTTAAAGCCGCCATCCGGGTGCTTATCTACGTGCGCGACACAGCTGACCGCGCCCTCGTCATGCAGCCGAATCCCAACCGCAAACTTGAGAGCTACGTCGATTCAAACTGGGCAACGAAGTTCTCTTGCTCCGGTGGCATGTTCTTCTTCTACGGATGTCTCTTCCACTGGTTCTCCAAAATGCAGCGATCCGTCACGCTGTCTAGTGCCGAGGCAGAGTTCTTCGGCGCCATGCTAGCCGCCAAGGAGGTGATTTTCATCCGTGAGCTACTGATCGATCTTGGATTTTCCATCGACGGCGCCAGCGTCATCAACTGCGACAGCAAGTCCGCCGTCGGCATGGCCTTCGATCCCGTTGCCTTCAAGAAAACCAAGCACATCTTGCGCGCCGCCGAGTTTCTTCGCGATCTCGTCAGCCGTGGCGTTATCTCCGTCGAACACCTCCCCGGCGTCGTGATGCTCGCCGACCTGCTCACGAAGGCTGCCTCGCGGGCCGTCTTTACTGGCCTGATCAAGCAGCTCGACGACTTTCATGCCCTTTGAATTTATTTGTCCCTCGCGCCCCGCACTCGGGCCAGGAGGGGCTGTTCCCGGGCATTCACACTATATTCCTCTGAGATAATATTATATTTCGCCGCCACCGCGGCGCGCGCGCCTTATCCGCGCGCTATATTAGTAGAGCCAAACTTGTGTTCTTGTTTTGGGTCAAACTTGTTACAGCTCAGCGATCGCGATGCGGCCCCTGCCTAGCTTCCTGCTCCTATGCGCGAGCTATGGCGTGACCGCTATCGCGTAAGCACCGGTCGCACATTGTGGCAGCAGTCAGCAACGCATGTCTGATAGCTAGAGCAGCAGCATCAGGGTCGCAGGGTCGGATCGTGTCAAGCCTCTCGCCCGGCCGGCCGCGTGCAGACGTCGGCCTGTCTGCTGTCTGGAGTGATCTGTCGGCGGTCAGTACGACCGATCAGGTCAGAGTTTTCTGATGACTGGAGGGTCCATCTGTATGTACTCCTCGAGATCTCTCCAAATCTGCCCTCTAATCAACCGTAATCATTCGGGAAGTTGGTGCTAATAGAGACTAATAGAGCCTCGATCCTGTACCGTGTTTGTTATGACCCCCCCCCAATGAACACACCAGTGAGGGAGGGCGAGACGATCGAGGGGTCCCGTACCATGCGGAATCGACCCTATCCAGTGCTCAAGTGCTCAAGCCGGGGCCCCGTTTCCGCACTGCGGCACGGCGCACGGTGCCTCCGGGGGCCCCCGCCTGTCCCCCCAGAGGGGGCGCGCGACGGGACATCGGCTCCACGACATACATGCACGTGACCACCTCGTACGCAAGAGTACACGCGCAACACACACCGACGTCGCACATACGCACACACACACACACCGCGTACTTTGCAACGTACTCTGACTCGCTTCTCGACGCCGCTCTACAGCTCTGGCCCCGGCGCCTGCGCGTCGTAGACCGCCTCCCATGCAGTCCTCTTGAAGTTGTCTCTGAACCCATCGCGCTCGCGGACCTCTCGCTTCAGCCGCGCGACGCCGCCGACGACGGCGGCTCGCACCTCGTCGTACCTGTGGACGGGAGCGGGTGGCGAGGTCGGGGCGAGGACCCGCAGCCCGGACCGCTCAATGCCAGCGCACACGCTCGCGCAAGTCTCGCGGTCGGAGGGCTCGACGCCGGTCAGGTCGACGGGCGCCCCAAAGAGGAAGTAGTGCCTCTGCGGCGTCAGAGCGCCGACGGGGGGCACAAAGACGTCGCCGGGGACGAAGGAGGGCAGCGTGCCGACCCGCTGCCGGAAGAAGTCACCGACGAGCGGCGCACTGAGGAGCTCGTCCGAGTCGAGCGCGAGGGAGAAGGACTCGTCCCCGCCGAGGCCAGAGAAGGGGACCTACGTGCCACGGCAGGGGGCGTCGGGAGCACCGCCCGGCCGCCGCCTCCTCCGCGCACCGGCGGGAGGCGCGATTGTGGCGTTGACGCGCGCGGCCAGCCGCACGAAGTCGGCGTCCTCGCCCCAGAAGAGGCGATACTGCTCCCCCTTGCGCTTGAAGACCTGCCGGCCGGAAGGGCGGCGGGTGAGCCCGCTCCGCCCCTGCGCGGGCGCGCCGCCCTCGTTTTGCCCGGCCACCTCGCGAGCTCCGCCCGGGAAGAGGAGCACGCACTCCCCTCTGGCGAGCGCCTGCCGCAGGCGCGGGGCGAGGTCGGCACCGGGAGAGCGGCGGGCTCCGCATCCTCGCGACGGCGCGCCGCGTATAAGCCGCGGGCGGAGACCTTTGTGGCTCCGAAGCGCTCGAAGGTTGCGGCCGTGCCGGGCAGCGGGTAGGGCAAGGGAGCGAGCGGCGACTCGGAGGCGAGCAGGGGCGGGAAGACCATCGGCCGCAGCAGCCTGTCTCGCTCGCGCAGAAGCTCTTCGACGAGGAGAGGCCTGCGGGGCACCGGGGGGGGGGGGGGTGGAGCGGCGGGGCGGGGCGCGCTGCGCCGCTGCGTCCGGGCGGCCCGTCGAAGCCGAAGAGCTGATGGTTACCCACGAAGAGGACGGGCGAGCCGGCGGCGGGCAGCGCCAGCCCAAGCACGCCGCGCTCGAGCGCCCCGTCGGCGCGGACCGTGTAAAAGAGGGGCGAGAAGAGGCGGCGCATGCCCTGGAGCCACACCTCGAAGGGCGAGGCGGGGGACGGGTCCACCGACGCGGCCGCGGCCGCAGGCTGCGGGCGTAGCGGTGGCGGCGGCGGCGGCAGCGGCGGCGGCGGCGGCGGCGTCTCGCCGCCCTCCGCCTCGCTCGCCTCCGCCGCCACCCTCTCCGCCGCCTCGGCCGCCTCGCGCCGCCGCCCAGCGTGCGCCCGCTGCACTGCGCTCAGCACGCCGCTTTGCGCCAGCTCTAGCCGCAGGTTGAGCGAGCGAGCGTCGTCGAGGCAGGCGTGGCCCGCGGACGGCAGCAGCTTGCGCACCGAGCCGGGCAGCCGCTGCTGCAGGCGCGACGTCTCGGCGGGCGAAGCGAGGACCAAGTCCCGCCCGCCCGCGAGCAGCAGCGTGCTCGATGCCGGGGCGCGCCCTCCCGCCGCGAGGCGCCCGTTGACCGCCGCGCTGCCCTTGCGCAGGTGCTCCTCGAGCCGCCACGCAAGGGCCTCTGCAGGGAGGGCGTCGGCGAGCGCCCCGCTGGCGGAGAGCACCGCGGCGGGAGAGGGCAGGAGCGGAGGCGGGCCCGTCGTGGCGTCCTCGCCGACGATGGAGCGAAACCAGTCCCGCTTGCCGAAGAGCGGCGTGACCGCGTACGGCGCCGCGCGGTACACGCCTCTCGGCAGCCGGGGCAGCAGCGGCGCGAGCGTCGAGAGCGCGCTGCCCGCGTAGCCAGTGGCGGGGTTCACGAGGCAGAGTCCGTCCACCGCGTCCGGCGCGCGATAGGCGAGTCCAAGGGCCGCCACGGCGCCGGTCGACTCGCCCACGAGAAGCGTGCCTCGGCCGGCGGCGGTGTCGCCCAGGAAGGACTCGCAGCCGCTCAGCACGTCGCCAAAGGAGGAGCGATCCGCGGGCGCAAAGGAGAGCGCGTGCACCTCGAAGCTCGACGCGAGGCGCGGCCACTGCGTGGCGCCCGCGCTGCCGGTGCCGTCGATGCCGGGCAGAAAGAGCAGCACGGGCAGCTCCGGCCGCTCGGGCGTGAGCCGCCGGAAGGCAAAGTCGCGGGGAGAGGCGGCGGCCAGGCTGCAGCGGGGAGAGCGGCGCGGCCGTTCGTGCGTCCGGTGCGGCGGCGACCACGCGGTGGGCTGCGGGACGAGGCAGAGCATCCTACTGGGCGCGATGCCACAGGCCGAAGCATGCCCACTGCGGAATTCGCGGCCGTTTCAGTTTCCTTTTTGCGCTATTTAAAGAGTGGGCGTGCATGTACATAGCGAGAGAGAGAGAGAGAGAGAGAGATGGTCTTCACGCCGGTGGGAGGCACCGAGGCGTCTTGGACGCTCAGCTCTACCTTAAGCTCCTGAGGGGCGCGTGGTTGTAACCACGTAGTATGACTACAGCCCACCACAGACACCCTCCCCCACTCCTCACGTGTGTTAACACCCTCACCCTCTCCTCTCTCCTCTCTCTCTCTCTCTCTCTCCTCTCTCTCCTCTTGTCTGTGCTGTCTGCCTGACTCAGGCACTCAATCTGCCGATGCGTGATTGTGTGTGGGCTGCTCCGAGGGGGCCCTCTGTGCGATCCGACGGGTAGGGGGGCTGTGCCCGGGCGGTGTCCGGTGTGGAGTCCCCTTCTGATCCCGCCTGGGATGTTGGGTGTGAGGTTGTGGCGGCTTCGATCCCAAGGGGGGGAGCTGATCCCACTCAATAACCAACTCTCAGGGGCAGTAGGTGGGCGAGCTTCAGGCACGCTCATCTCGATCGTCAAGACGTTGCTACGCGCGGTCTTCCGCGGGGGGAGCTGCGTCGACGGGTGCGGGACCGCGGCGCAGCCAGTGCCGTGGCGATGCCTCCGGCTGTTTGCGGCGGGCGGCTTGCTGCTCGCTGCGATGGCGAAAAAACTCGTCTCGCCACACGCCAAGGGCTTATGCTCTGGCGAGACGTGAGGCGCATGCGCCCAGGAGGGGAGGGGGCATGTGTAACGACACTGCTAGAGATGCCTTTCGGGGCCCAGAGATAAAACTTCTGTGATGCCATGCGTGACCTAGTAGTGTCCCCAGCTATGGGCGTGTCCACGTTGGAGCCAGGTGTGGTGTGGGCGCGAGAATAGCTCCGCCGTTCATGGAGGCAACCGATGCGAGTCGACTGGTGTGTGTCGTCGTGGTTTCGTATCAAGAATTCTCTCTCTCTCTCATGTACATAGCGCGACTTTAGCGCAAATTTAGCGCAAATTTAGTACATATTTAACACATATGTAGCACATATTTAGCACATATTTAGTGTGTTTTATCTCCAATTTAGCGCCACATTTATTTAGTTCACTTTAGGTGCGAGCAGCTGCAGTACATTTTAGTGTGGGTCCCGCATCTTTAGTGCGGGCACGCATTCTTTAGTACGGCTTCCCGGCCACACCACAGGCCACAGCTAGCCAGGGCCGCGTGCTTTGCTCTCGATTGCTCCTTGGCTGCCAAGAATGCACCAACCACAGGAGATGCCTGGCCCCTGCCCTCATGACCCAAAGGCAGGCTCCCAGTGAGGCTAGAAATACATACAGCCCTCCAGAGCAAGATCTCCCCCGACTGAGCACAGGCACAGCAGACAGCACCGATTCCCGAGAGGAGGACAAGCACAGTTGAATGCGCCACCGCAAGCAGCACCTCCGACCGCACAACCCATGCTGTGCCCGTGACCATCTTCAGGAGTGCGGGTGGGCAAGCCCTAAAACGGCGGGAGGGGTAGGGGTGCCGCTGTAGGGGTGTGGAGGGGTCGGGAGGGCGGGAGTGTGGACCGTGACCTAAAAAGCCCTCCACCGATAGAGGTGTCAGGCGGCAGGGCCCAGGAGGGGTGGGGGCTTGGAGGGCTGGCCAAAAGCGAGGCGTAGGAGGGGTCCAGTGGGCTAGAGAGGGCTGGAGGGGTCGGAGGGGGCTAGAGGGGCCGGAGGGGCTGTGCGGATGGAGGGGTCTGGAGGGGTCTGGAGGGCTCGGGGGGCTTGGAGGGCTCGGAGGGTGTCGTCCGGCAAGAGGGTCCCTAGCGCGAGGGGTGGGGCTCGGGAGGGGTGGAGAGCTCGGAGGGCTCGGAGGGCTCGGAGGGCAGAGAGGCACGAGGGTGGCGCTGGAGGGCTCGGGAGGGCTCGGGAGGGCTCATGAGGGATGGAGTGCCCGGAGGGCTCGGAGGGGCGAGCCACCGAGCCGGGCTCGGGGGGCTCGGAGGGCTCGGAGGGGTCGGAGGGCTCGGAGGGGTCGGAGGGCTCGGAGGGCCTGGAGGGCTCGCGGAGGGGTGTGGAGGGGTCGGAGGGGTCGGAGGGGTCGGAGGGGTCGGAGGGGTCGGAGGGGTCGGAGGGGTCGGAGGGGTGTGGAGGGGTGTGGAGGGCTCGGAGGGCTCGGTTAAAGATACCTGCAGGCATACGGAAGTGGTGCAATACACATCATGAGGCGTTTCCGTGGTGTCCGTGCGCGGACGGCCCGGGGAGCCTGCGGCGCTATTTCAACCTGCCCCGACGGAGTCTCTCGATACGGCGCGCGGCGGCGCCGCACCCAGCAAGCTGGGGCTGCTCCTTACGGACTCGTCGCTGCGCTCCTCAAGGCAAACACGAAGCGCGTTTGGTATTCGAAATACCTGGGGTTTCCGCTAAAACGGAAGCGCCACAGCCCCTCCAGACACACACTCATATGGAGCTCCTCGCTCGCCCGCCTGGCGGCGGCAGCGGCCATGGCGACGCTGACGGCGGCGGCACTCGTGGCGGTGACACTCGTGGCCGCGGCGGCGCCTGGGCAGCAGAGAGAGCTGTCGCTGCAGTGCTGGCGGCAGCTGGCGGCGGCGGCTGGGGGCGGCGGCTGGCGGCGACATTGCTGGCGGCAGCCATGCGGGGGCGGCGCTGCTGTGGCGGCGAGGCGGCGGCGTTGCAGCGCCCTGCCGCAGCAGGCCCGCCCGGATAGGACTGGCAGTCTGCCGGCGCGGCCGGCGCATTCGAATGCGCCCGCCGCGCCGGCAGACTGTTGGATGGCCACAGTCGCGAACGTGGGTGAAGTCGTGCGGCGCAGAGACCAGCTCATTCGCCGTCGCCGGTCCCTCGATCACGGGCGCCGTCGCCGTTGACCCGCGTCCATGGGCGGCAGCAGGCCTGCAGCCCTCCAGCCCTCTACGACCCCTCCGACCCCTCTACAGCTGTAGCCCTCTCGTGGCGGGCACTCTCGGAAGCTCCGCGCCATTCTTTTTTGCGACCCCTCCCGGAGGCCCTTCCGACCCCTCTCGAGCCCTCCCGCCACGAAGATCCTCCCTTTGTCCGACCGTCCCTCCGAGCCCACCCGGCGCCCGAGCCCTCTTGCCTATCACCCGAGCTCGGGGGGGCGGCGAGCCCTCCTGGACCCCACCACCCCTCCCGCCTCGCCCAGCCCTCCTGACCCCTCTCCCCGGTGGACCGCTCCACCCTCCCAGCGCGCTAGCCCTATGGGACCCTGTGGAGCCCTCCCGACGCCGATCCGACGGGGACCCCTCCAGCCCTGTGGGCTGGCGAGCCCTCCGGTCGGAGGGGTGGAAGTGGGAGGGCTCGAGGACGGACCCCTCTCGCTCCGGGAGGGTGGAGGGGTGGAGGGTGGAGGGGTGGAGGGGTGGTTGAGCCCTCTAGCTCTATCGATATAGCCCTACCCCTCCCGCCGTTTTAGGGCTTGCCCACCCGCTATGATCTTCAGACTTCACGCCCCGCTGCCGGCAAACGTTTTGCCGCTCGGCGCACGGCGGGCCCGGAGGCTGATATCAGCTGAAAAACCTTCGTTCGTTCGGTTGGGGATGGGACGGACAGGAAAGTTTTTGCGAGTGGGCAGGAGACTGCAGGGGGAGAGGGGGAGGGAGGCCCAGCGAGGGGCTGCGGCTGGATCCTAGTGCGCGGCAGGTGCGCGGCTGGACTAAAGACGCACTAAACGTAAACCTCGCTAAATCTAGATGTAAAGTCGCAGTGAACTCGCGCTAAATTTGCGCTGAATTCGCGGTAAATTTCCGGTAAATTTGCGCTAAATTCGCGCTAAATTTCGCGCTAAAGTGCACTAAAGATGCAGTAGATAAACACTTCACACCGCACTAAATTTACACAAACAAAATCTCTCTCTCTCTCTCAATTTAGACCCAGGCGCCCTCCTTTTCTTGTTAGGTGGCGGGATTCAGATCACAGAGAGAGCAGCAAACACTAACATTTACACCTAGTACTAACATTTTCTGCCCCGGTGAGTTGTTCCCCGGGGTGCAGTGGGCCCCGAGTTTGAAAAGCAGAAAAGGGCGACGGACGCTTGCGTCCTAGCCTCCAACAACGCCTCCCCGACCCGGAGGGGCCCCCGGAGGGATGCTCAACCGCTCCACCCACACGGTCCTCTTCCGAGGCGCACATACTGCTTTTCTTTTCCTTTGTTCATGTCTCAAATTCTGCATCGGAACTCGATGTGTGGGTAGAGGTGCGGGCCAAAGCCGCCGCGTGTATTCCCATCTTCATCGCCGCACCAAGGTGTCATCGCCGCCTGCCGCCGTTCTCTCTCCACCTACCGCTCCTCCCCCTCTCCACCTACCCCTCTTGTCCCCTCTTCACCTCATCACCTCTTGACCTCTCACACCCCCCTTCGCCGTCCGCAGACGCAATATTGAACGATGAGCCCTCCCGCCGTCGCCCGTGCCCGCCTCAACGCGCTGTGGCAGGGTGCCGGCCGTGCCCACGCGAGCGCGCAGGCGGCCCGCTTCTCCAACAGCATGCAGGGCGGCGTCGGCGCGGCGCCGTCCTTCATGAGCGCTCGCGAGGCGACCTTCTTCCGCCAAGCGCAGCAGTTCAAGGGCGCCGGGGTGCACCTCTCGATCAATTCCCCGCTCCGGGGCTGCGGGCGGAGCGGCTGGGCACGGGGGTCCGAGCTCGGGCGGGCGCAGTAGGTCAACCCCCCTGCCCATATTCTAGGAACGCCCTGCCGCATAGTTGCGCGGGCCGCCTTGTGGACCTCTCGTGTCACCTGTCTCCACCTTGACCTCTGCTGAAGAAGCCGGTGTGTGTCTTGTACCTTTGTGCCTTGAAACCTCGGAAAGCGTGGTAGTCCTTTCTCCGCCCCGGGATCGAACCGCGGCGACATACACATCTCTCCTTTTGATATATAGCCCGATAGCGGTCATACAGAGAGCGGCCGAGCGAGAGCGCCGTCAATCCCCGCCCCGCTTTCCCCCGGCGTCACGCCGCCTCTCCCCCCTCCGCCTCGGCCAGCACCTCCCGCAGCTGAGGCAGCCACTCCGCCTGCTCGGCCGGGGCCCACTCCGACTGCAACCACTCGAGCGCTCCGCTCGCCTCCTCGCGCGCGAGGTCGACCTCGCCGGCGCACAACGCCGCGGTCGCGAGCAGGTACCGCACCTCCGCAGAGTCGTCGTCCTGCGCGCCGGGGGACTGACAGTCAGCCCACGCCCCTCCCTCCCCTCCCTCCGCCTGCGCCGGCCGCGCGCCTCGACGCGCGCGCCCTGCAGCAGTTCGAGCGCGTCGCCGTGCCGGTCCACCTCGAGCAGCATCTTTGCGAGCGCCAGTCGCAGCTCCAGCGACGGCATCTCCACCCCGCCGCCACCCTCCTCCGCCTCCTCAGCGCGCCGCACGACCTCGAGCGCGCGCAGCAGCAGCGGCTCGGCGTCGTCGTACGCCTCCTGGCTCAGCTTGAGCGATGCGCGCGTCTGGAAGGGCTCAACCACCTGCACCGCCTCGGCAGGCAGGTCCGACACCAGCTGCAGCGCCTCCCCCGTCAGCGCGTCGCACCGCCCCTCCGCCTCCGGCTCGTCACACAGGTCCGTCAGGTAGAGCTCGGCGGCGGAGCAGAGGCCGACGGCGAGCGCGCACGTCGCCTCGGCCCACGCCGCCTGCAGCTCCGAGCGCTCGCCGCTCGCCTGCTGCAGCGCCTCCCGCTCCGCTCGCAGCCCCGCCACGCCCTTCTCGAACCAGCCGACCGCCTCGGCGGGCGAGTCGGAGAGCTGAGCGAGGTACATGTAGCGGCCGGGCGCTCCGGCGGGGCTCAGCTCGATCGAGCGGTGCAGGGCTCTCCCCGCCTCCTCCGCCTCGCCGCACGTGAGGCACGCCTCGGCCAGCGTGTCCCACGCCAACACGCTGGACGCATCCGCCGAGACGGCCTGCCGGCAGAGCGCCGCCGCGCCGCTCGGGTCGAGCCGGTCGAGGCTCTCGCGTGCGGACGCGAGCAGCGCCTCGGCGTCCAGCTCGGGCGCCACCGCCTTACCTTTGCCTTTCTTGACCGGCTTGACCATTGGCTAAAGTGTACTCGGCTGGAACGCGGAACGCGAGCACTAAAGAAACCATTAAGCACCCGGCGCGCACCGCGCTGCGAGTCGTGTGTCAGGAGCAGGAGAGCCCCACCTGTGCCCCTGATCGTCCTTCCAAAATCCTGCTCGTGCAGGTGTGGACCCTGTCCTCCTCCCCTATCCCTCGTTTGGGTTATTTGTTTTCTTTCTTTCTTTCCTACGAGACTGTACGTATCTCTCTCTCTCTCTGTACGTAAGAGCCAGAAAGAAAGAAAACAGACAATCCAAGGGAGGGATGGGAGGACGGCACGCCGCCACCTCACAGGGATTTTAAGAGCCAAAAAAGAAAGAAAGAAAACAGACAACCCAAGGGAGAGGCATACACGACAAAAGGAAATCGCATTCTTTTTTAAGAAAACTCCGCTCCGAGGTGCCCGCCGCGACGGCTATCGTCGTGGCGCGTCTATGCCGGGCCGTTTGTCGCTCGTGCTGCTCCTCCCGCTCTTCGCGGCGCAGGCGGCGACGGCCGCTGTCACGTCTTCGCCTGTCCCGCGAGTTGCCGACTTCTACGGTCGGAACGGCTCGCTCTTCGTCAACGGGCAGGAGCTGCGCCTCAAGGCTTGCCACACACACTCGCCCGGTAGTGTCTGCTGCTCGGCCCCGTTGCTGAGGCACCGCCCTCCTTGGTAGGGCTTGAATTGGTTCGGCTCGGAGAGCGAGGCGCGGGTGCCCCGTGGCCTCAACCACCGCTCACTCGGCGAGCTGATGGAGTTTGTGCAGGCCAATGGCTTCAACGCGCTCCGAGTCACCTTCTCGCTCCAGAACGTGGAGAGCAACGAGCTGACGCCGTCTTCGGCCGCAGCCCACTCTGTGGAGCTCGCCGGCACGGACTACGTCGGCATGCTCGAGGCGATCGTGGCGATGGCGGCGAGGCGCAACCTGCTCGTGCTCCTCGGCTGCCACCGCATCAAGAGCGGCTACCCGCACGAGTGGCCCGGCAAGTGGAATGGTCGCTGGACGGACGGGCAGTGGACGCCGTCGCGCGTCCTCGCCGCGTGGTCGGGGCTGATGAAGCGCGTGTGCCGCGGTTCCAGCCGCCCGTGGAACCTGCTCGGCATAGACGTGCTCAACGAGCCGTTTGGGCAGGAGTGGGACGACTGGGCGGACGTGGTGCAGCGGGTAGGCAACCACGTTCTGGAGCTGTGCCCCAGCAGCCTTGTCTTTGCGCAGGGCACGGGGAGCCTGCCGCCGAAGGAGAAGGGCGTCCAATGGGGCGGCAACATGATTGGGGCGGGCGAGTTCCCGATTGCGCTCTCCAACGAAAGCAAGCTCGTCTACGCGCCGCACGTTTACGGCCCGTCGCTCTCGACGCGAAGCCACGCCGAGAAGCCGGAATACTTCTCGGACGCCGACTTTCCGCAGTCCATGCGCGACATCTGGACGCACCACTTTGGCTTTGTCCGCGGGCAGACCGGCGCACCGCTCGTGATCGGCGAGGCAGCCGCTGCCTTGGCCAACCGCGGCAAGCCCTGGCTGGAGGAGCTCATCCGCTGGGCGACCGAGGAGCACCTCGGAATCTTTTACTCTGCCCTGAGCCCGGAGGCAGGCGGAGTGGGCGGCGTACTCCTCGACGACTGGACCACGCCCGATGTGGGCAAGCTTGGGCTGCTGCGAGCGCTGCCGGCCACTAACGTCAGCGCTCTCTTCCCAGCGCCACCGCGCAGGCCGCGGAGCGCGGGCAACCCGCTGTGTGAGACAGAGGGGAGAAAGGCTCGCCCCCCACAGCATGGTCGATGTCGCATGCCGCACTCCCGGGGTAACCCCCCCTCCTGGCCGCACGCAGGTCATCACTCCAAATCGGTGCTTCGAGATCCAGGAGCGGGAGGACTGCGAGAAAGCCATGACGGCCGCGTCAGCCAAGGGGATGCTCGTCTGTGTCTGGGCACCAGTAATGGCAGGCGAGCCAATCCAAACACGCTGCACGGGTAGACCCGCCAGGCCGTGCGCGCCTGGGCTGCCGCCACCGGCTCCACCCGTTCCGTCTTCTCCACCTCCGCCGCCGCCGCACCCACCGCCACCGCCAGGGCCGCGGTGGCCTCCAAATGTACCGCCACCACTCCTGCCACCGCCTCCCCTGCAGCCAGCCGCATACAGCCCCTGGAGGATGGGTGGGACGGTGTGGCTTGCAGCCGGCGCACTGGCCCTGCTGGTCTACAATTGCGGGTGGTGTGGCAACTCCTGCCGCCCAAAGAAGGATGGGTGGGCCGTGGTTGCGCAGGGCGCACAGCAGTCGCTGGTACAGGAGAGCCGCTTCCTCCGTCGGGTTCCGGAGGCAGTCTACCACGCGATTGTTCAGGAGCGCAGGCGGGTCATCAATGGCGACGACCTCGCGACCGATGCCGAGGAAGTTGAGAAGGGCAGCAAGGCGCAGCAGCACGCGCACCGGGAAGCGGAGCTGTTGCACGACACGCTGCTGCAGGTGGTGCTACCAGAGCCAGAGGTACCTAAGATGGAATCTCCAGAATGCTTGCCCGGCTCCTCGCCCGCAGAGCCACCGCCCGTGGCGTTGCCGGATCCACCGCACCCGTTGCCGCCCGGACCGCGCGTCGAGCAGCCTCAAAGTGAGGTGGAGCCGCCCTCCGACAAGCCGCGTCGCCGCGTGGCACGGCAGCCTTCCAAGGCGCCACGAAGGAAGAAGCGAAAGGACGAACCGGCACCTGGCGCCAGGTCGGATGCACCAACCCGACATGCGGGCGATGGCACGGCGGCGGCGCCTGCGACGCTCGCCGGCCAAGGCGGGGACGTTTCTACCAGACGCGAGAGCTTGCGAGCAGAGGCGACCGTCGCGTTCGATGGACGATACCTGACTGTTGCGGTGACAACGGCGTCGGGTCACCGAGAGCCGGGGGAGGGCAGCGACGAGGAGAGCGAGCTCGCGCGCTTTGGGCGCGTCGTCAACACCTTGCTCGTGGACGTGGAGCACGCCGCCCGGCTGGCTGAGGTGAGGAGCAGCATCTCGTCGGCCCTGGAGGACGCGGACCTACCCGAGCTCCACGACGCGGGCTGCGGCCCGCCGGTGCTATGGTACCTGCGGGAGGGCAGCAGCTCTGGGTCCATCGTCAACACTTCGACGCAAGTGAGCGCGCTGCTCAAGGCCCGCCGGGTCTGGCTTGCGCCGCAGAGCATCCCGCCGAGCCGGCCCTCCCCTCGCGCCATCGAGACGGCAAGACCGCCGCCGCCCGAGGCCCAGTCGAGGGCCGACCTGACGAAAGTGCTGAAGAGCGGCGAGTCTGTCCGCATCTATCGAGGTCATGTTCAGGGCAACTCGGCACTCGACTAGGCTCTAGGCGCGCGCGACTTTCTACTGCATGTAGAGGCGAGTGACGCGCATATCTAAGGCATTTGCGCTGGCTGCGCGGAGTTTTGAACTACTCAGGGTGATTTGTTTGGGATAAACGTAAAACGAATCGCGAACGGCTCAGGCCTCAGCGATTGGAGCCGATCCAGTAGCAGTACGGGGTTCCGCCGCTGCTCACGTCTTGTGATCTTCTTTCTTTGTGTTCGTTCTCTGTGTTCGTTCTCTGTGCCAGTGCGGCGCGCCAGTCCCGTGCACAGAGTGTCTAACAGTGTGGTGCGAGTTTTTTGTTCTAAATGTCTGTGTGTGCCAGTCCGCGCCAGTCCGCGCCCTTGTTTGTCGTGCCAGTGTGCTAAGAAGAAAGAAAACAGACCAGAGAGAGGGATGGGAGGACGGCAAGCCGCCACCACACAGGGATTTTCGCATTGTCATCGACTTGTATCCGGCTTGGTTGTGGTGATGTAGCGATGGTGTGGGTCTCTAGTGACCTATACAGGTCCTCCGTGTTCCGTCTCCTGACATGGTACCGACCGGTGAGTGCACGGAGTGAGCAGTGCGGCACTGAGGCCGACATGAGAGCTGGTGCGGCACACAAGCGAGATGTGTTGCCGCACAGCATTTCCGGCTTACGCTCGATACGTTGGCTGGCACCATGGGCACCTATATGAGCCGTGGTGATTGGCTGGGCACAGAGGCTCGGCGCACGGTGGCACAGCGGCCGCCAACTGCTCGGCACGGAGGCTGAGCAGAATGAGTACAACCGCAACATCAACTTGGGTGCTTGCGGATCTTCTGCGACAGAGCGCATCTCCGCCAGCACTGCGGCTGTGTGGACACGAGTATCCCCTCTTGCTTCTCCTTACCGGTCCGTTCTCCTCGCCTACGGACCACCATCGCAGCTGCTGCCTCCGCTACCAGCTCTCGGGCTGCTGCAACGGCAGTTACCGCAAAGATCTCGCACCGAATGTGGACCCTGCCTTTCGCCGCCGCTACTTCCGACGTCGCCGCTCGACACGACCGGAGCTGTACGCGATGAACACGCGACGATCGACACGCCCTCTCTGCCTTGTGTGGCGATTACCACGTCGTGGGGGAGTGTTGGGCATCTGTTCGACGTGGCAATGCCACTCTACCTCATTGCTGTCTCTTCCTCGTCTCGCCTCCTCGCGCTAGCCCGTCCCGCTGTCCAACGCCTCTGGCAAGAAGTCCAATGCGCCTCTACGAGCGTCTCTGCCGTCTGGACGTCTGAGACTGAGCCTGCCATCTCCGACGTCGGCGGCCCGTGGCGCAACATCAACGTTCGGGGCATTGAAGATCGTCCTCACGTCCCTGATGCGCTCATCCGCGTCAACGCGGCGAGGCCTCCCAACGGCCCAATCGCCGCGCCGCAAGGGGGCGCCCCCGCTGCCACTCCCGCGCCCGCCGCGCCTGCCGCGCCCGCTCAAGCCGCCGCCCCGCGACGCTCAGCCCGGATTGCAGCTCGCGGCGCGCCATGACCGAGCTCCACAACGAGCTCCTGTTCATTATCTCCCCTTTCTCTCTCTCCGCCCACTCGGCCGCGCTTTGGCCCCTTCACTGGATCATCTTAGCGCGCAAGTCTTGCCAACAAGCAAGACCATCCTTCGCGAAGACGCAAGGTTGGACGCTTAGTTAGCCAGCCCCGCGAGACGCCGGCGGGTAACCGGCATACCTACGCTCAGACACATTCACACTCTGCTGTTGTTGTCTGCCGCATCCTCATTCATGAAGACTGCGGAGACAATGGGGGGAGTGTTGAAGAGTGTGAGCTCAAACCTACTTCCTGACCGTAGCCTGACAACCGTCCTTGTGTAACCGTCTCATGTTTGGTTTGTCCTGCCGCGCACATTGTCATCGACTTGTATCCGGCTTGGTGGTTGTGGTGATGTAGCGATGGTGTGGGTCTCTAGTGACCTATACAGCGCAGCGTTGTGCTGTCTCCTCACAGTTTCAGATGTGTGGCTCTACAATTCTCTCTTCTCGCGCGGCGCGGATTGCTTTGCCTTCGGCTGCAGCTGCGCCAGGTCCGCACGGCCGGCTCCTGTCCTACTGGCGCACCAACCCTGTCGCATGGCGGAACACGAGATGACGTCGCCTAGCGTCGAGGTTCAGGGCGAGGCTGTCTGTGGCAGTCGAGGGTCCTGCTGTGGCTTGGTAGCACCGAGCAGCGCTGCTCTCGTGCTAACGGTGCGCTTGCCTCCTGATGCCAAACCGGGCGAGGTCCTTCGTACCCGCTTGCCGCCGAGCGCAAATCTGCCGGAGATGACCTTTGAGGTTCCGAGCGGCGCCTGCACGACGGTGACCGTTCGCACGCCTCTCCCATTGTGCAAGATCGATACCGCTGTCAAAGGTGGCGCGGCCGAGCAGCCAACGGAGATCTCCCATGTCACTGCTGGATCAGTCCAGCCGGCGCTGCCCGACCGTCAGCGCCGCGCCTTCCAGTCTGCTTTCGACGCCTTCACGACAATCTGCCTGCTGGCTCTCGCGATCATTGCCGTTGCAGTCGGCTTGATCTACGGCGCCGCGTGGCTCGTCACTTTCCCGCTCCGAGTACCCTACCGCGCCGCCCACGCCTTTCTGGACCGGTGCTGGAGCGAACAGCGGCCTGTGGCTCAGCTAAGCGGGTGGGCGCGGGTGCAGCGGGCGCTCCTCCACGACATCCTCCCCGCCTCACTGCT